GAGATTACACACGGCAACAGCGGCAACAGCGGCAACAGCGGCAGCAGTGGCAGCAGCGGCAGCGGCAGCAGCATCACCCCGGACTGCAACAACTTGGCAGGCCCCTGTCTGAAAAAGTCTTGAAACTCACCCGAGGCTTTCCCGGGTAAAAAAGACAACCGTGAATACATTGATGGGTAAAATGTTGCATCCTATGGTTGTAAAGCTAAGTCAAGAGTGAAAGTGGATTCTGACTGAGCAATGGGGGGGGGGGGGGGGAGAGGGATGGCACTTACGTCTGGCGGCATCCCTCAAAACATGGGGATGGACATTCCACATTCCCAAGGCAGGGTCAGTTTATCCACAAGGGGCGTCCACTCCGGTTTTCCTCATATGCGATCCATGTAAACATTACGAATGCACAGATGCTGCCAACAGTCTCTCTCCTTGATATAAGTTTTTTTTAGATTGCGTAAAAATATAAATGTGTCGTTAAACCCACCACCACCCGACACAGCCAACTAGTAAGGTTTGTCACGTAAACAAAAAATGGCCAATTCGTGACTAGTACAGCACGCCGATTGTGTGTTGGAGAGTAAACCCACTACAACATTTACAACTGGAGTGTTGTGGCGTTTCGCCGGTAATAACAACCGTTCTTAAATACGTTTACGTGACAAACCTTACTGATTGGCTGTGTCGGGTGGTGGCGGGTTTAACGACACATTCATATTCACGCGATCAAATCCAAATACAATCTCTTTTGTGAATAACATTGGTCATGAAAGCCTACGTGTTAAACAATCTCTCTCTCTCTCTCTCGAGAGAGAGAGAGATGCAAACCGTCGCAACAAATTGGACCAAACAATTATTTCTGCCCTCTACGAGTGGCAGAACTGTTTATGTGGACGAGCGCATTGGCGGAGCGCTATTTGCCCTTAAATGGAAGCAAAAATGCGTGGGCATCCTGCCTGTGTGTGTGTGTGCATCACCGCCATTCCACTACTCGCGCCCACTGCACCACTAACTACATCTTCTGGGCAGAATCTTTTTGTGTGTGTGTGTGTGCAGCAGAAGTCCCCAGATAGAATCTCTGGAATGCAGCTACAAAAAGCGAAGCATGTGCAGGACCAGGCACCTGTGTGCCCTGATAACCACCGCAACTTACCGAACGCAAGACCAGATTGTTCGCTTTTCACCGCACTGCGCCGTAAAATGTATTCGGTGACTGGCTGGGTGAATTAACAATTCGATGCTTTTTCTGCGCTCCCCAACGCTGCATCGCCAGGGCGCCGCGGTGGCTAGGAGATGTTAACTACCTTGCCTGGTTTCCAGGAGTTCGTGGGTTCAATCCCGACCCTGACGCCTGTTGTCTATGTGGAGTTTGTGTCTCTCTCTCTCTCTCTCCCCGTGGTCGCGTGGATTTCTCGGCGGGTCCTCCGGTTTTTCACCTCCACACTGGGAATCAACGTCACGCGTTTAAGAGTATTTGGCTGCCTAAACTTTCCAAGTGATGATTATGATGATGAGCCACTTCGTTGAGCTATCAGTCGTGGCGGCCAGGTCACATCTGAAAAAGAGCTACATAGCTCAATGGGGCCTTACCTGGTAGAATAAAAATTGTTTAGTTTTAGTTAATTATTTGTTGAGACTTGCCGAGCTACCACCTCCTTTACCTCCCCCCTCCGTAGGAGGGTCAACTCAAGAGCCTCAGGATGGAAACCGATCCTTCGGGATGGAAACCGATCCTTCGGGATGTAAACCGATTCTTCGAGTTGAGTTAAGCTCAAAAGGGCTACACGTGACCAAATAAAACGATGAACCCCATTCTGTCTGAACACAAATAAAAATGTTGAATCCATGAGCGTACTGGCTTCCCAAACCAATATTATTAAGCAGAATGCATTAGCTCAAGCAAGCAAACTCTGAAACAGTTTCAAAATTATGGGTCTCATCGGCCAAACAATGCACATCAAATCAACGCTGCTGCATGAGCCGGTGCTATGGGCAAGAGTATTCTCGTCCAGAATTGTTTCTTACTTAATAAACGCTGCTTAGTGATAATGGTCTGGAGAGCCAACAAACCGATGGGCTAACAATTATTTTTGAATTCATACTTGAAGAAACAGAACAGAATCCTGCTGATATTTATTTTTACCCATATTTCTCTGTGGCAATGCACCGTGACTTTGCGTCTGGTTAAATAATGGTAATCAAGTGGTATCAATAATGGGAGATCCTCATCTCGTTAAATAAACCATCATCCCCGCTTATCAAAACAGACACATCCCAAACAAAATAATTTTACTGCCAAATGCTCCACTCATTAAACCTCAGCTTGCTTGAATTATTGGAAACAAAACCAAAAAATATAGTTTTAAGTGATCTTGACTTAAAGCTTTCGTGACTGCAGGAGTTCATATTCTTTGGGTCTTTCGGTAAATTGACGTAGATAGGTTCAAAGAAAATAACAAAAAAACAACAAAAAAAGCTACGACGTTTCGATCGCAACACAAGAGGTCGTCATCAGGTGAAGGGGGTTGAGCTTCTCACCCCCTTTTTCTTCTTACACCCCTTTTCCTGACGACGACCGCTTGTGTTACGATCGAAACGTCGTAGTTTTTTGTTATTTTCTTTTAACCCATCCACGTGAATTTACCGAAAGACCCCAAGAATATTTTACGTGATTTTAGGAATCAAAAGAAACCCCCAAATGTGGACAATATTTCGTAAGTGTAAGTTCGTAGAAGTTGTAAGTTCGTAGAAGTTGTATGCATCACAGCAGTCCACCGCAGTGATACGTGAGAGGGTTTTAGACCCGAGCGTTTAAATGCTTCCGATTGGCAGAAAATAAATCACACGGGGCCACTGGGAGGTGTGGGCGACCACTATTTTGAACAAGCACCGTTGGTATTAAACTAGCGCGTGATTAAACGTATTCTGGATAACATCCGTCAGTTACCAGGAGCTTTAAAATGTTCCCCCGTTGTGCATCGCAAGTAGTGGAAACTCTAATGGTTTCATTAAGGCGTCGAAATTATTCGCAAACCAAAACCCACAAAAGGTGCTGGCATATACGTTTAATCTTCGACCTTTGCAGAAAGTGAAGTTAGAGGAAAACGCGGTCGGTTTCAAGAACGCAAGAATGCATGGGCAATACTGACATTTGTGTAAAGTAAAAAAATCGCTGCAAAAGTTTGTATTTTAAATTAAATAACTTGGGGGGGGGGTTCTCTCTCCCACTTTTAGGGTTCGGGTTAATGAGGAACGTGTTAGCCGCCAAACATGGTGCTGTCAAAGACTTCTTTCGTAAAAGAAACGACGGTGTTTGATCTAACGGCGGGAAACGTGGTTATACTTCCTAAAGGCAACGCACGGCATAGTCCTCGTTTAATGCGGTTGACGAGACCCCTGAAAAGTGCCGCGTTTGGCGAAAACGAGCTGGGCAAAAACAACTTGCCCGGAAGAAATAACGCAACGGTGCAATTGTGGCGAGACACGGTGAACGCCCGCCCGGTAACGAACCGAGATGAGGGCAAGCCGCCGGGTACCATATCATTCCACGCGTGCACCCTGAAGCTCCCGTACCGCTCGGCCGAGCAAATCACGAAAGTAGTTCGTCTTCGACCGCTCAGGAGCCGCGTTGTAGAACGACGCGCGTTTCCGCACAGTGCAATAAAAAGTGTTCCCTTTGGAAAAAAATTATCGTGCTGGGGCAAAAACACCATGTGCGGAGACGCATTAAGTGAGGACTTACCGTACTCTTACCCCAACACTCACCCATTGCAGTTGCGCCTATTGCCATGTTTCAAAGTTGCGTAGTTACATAGGCGGCACTGGTACTTTGCCGACCCTCCCGTATGCCGTAGTAATGCGGTGTGCCAGTCATCTACGGCTGTCGCCAAATCGTTCTCCTGGGACGCAAACCGCTTATCATGTCGTCGTCAGGGGAAAGGGGCCTACGTGACAAAAACTTCTAAGTTGTGCTGTTCCGCGCTGCAACGTCTATGCTCCCCCGCCTTCAATTAGCAATGACCAGCAGGGTGAAATGTGGTTAAATCTACGGATGTGTAAGAGTAGGCCCTTCCACTGCCTGGAAATGGAGATTGGGATCTAACTTATGTTGCTGGAAGGCCATTTCCAATATTAAACATCAATCTCAACACAATACTTGTGCATTTTGCCATTTTTTACCGCAAAAAATCTTATCACCAACACAACAATCAGTCTCAAGAATCGTTTATGTTCAAGGTAGTGCTGCGGACAAACTTAATAAGCTTTTGTTATTTGTGTGCGTGCATTACTGGCAACGTCACAACAATGTTTGTTCAAATGGGACATTGATGCATATGGCACTGGATTTATTTTTTTACTGCATTTTTTACTCATTCTAATAAAATTAATGGAACTTAAAATGTAAACATTTTTATAAATCATCTGCACAAATGCACGACACAAAGCAGGTGATACTTAGTAGGCATTTGTAATTTGAGCTAGCTCCAATCAGAGCAAGTGGGTTGGATAAGTAAATAGTGTGCCCGTCAATCGACGTCTCAAAACAAATTAACAAAAGTTTTGCAGGCATTCGAGATATAATTGAAATATTAAAAGAGGTGAAAGAGTTGGGCAGACATTTCGTGTGGCCAGAGTCATGCAGAGATAAGGAAGGGGGGCAGAGTGGCTCAGAGTGAGCCCTGGGGGCAAACCCTTCTGTGCTTGGAATGTCAACTTTCACAATTAGACCAGTTCACCGGAAAAGGCAAAATGGCAGTGCGGCATTTTCTGCGTTACAGACACCCCCACCTCCTCCTCCACAACCGTGCCTCACCACAAGCTCAATGTGCCACTGGAAGGACACAATGCAAATGCGTGTATAAAGCGCACAGCCCAAGGTGGCGGACTCGTGGGGCAAGGCAATCAACGGTTAATAAGATTCGCAGCGTACCATGCAGGCTGCAAGAGGCGCATGGGGCGTGCGGCCGAGAGGCCAGGAGGCATGCGCGGCCCGACTATATACGTACCAAAAACAACGACTCGGGGACTGAGCGGTGAGTAAACCTCTGACTTCTCACCTAAAGAAATCCCCAGGCAAAAGACAGCAATGAATCACACAACAACCGCAACACCGTTGGGTATATGCAACACTTTGTAAACCGGCGGTCGCGTCGGGAGGCCGTGCTGCCAGGGGCGCGGCGGTGGGGCCGACGGCAGGGCTACGCGTGCCGAGCGTGCGTTTCTCCCTCGCTTCACCTCCAACCGCATCGGGAGGCCGCCATCGGAGGCTGCCAACGGGCCCCGCAAATCAACCAAACGCTGTCCCGGTCCCTCTCCCCCATCACGGGCCGGCGCGTAACCGCGCCCTTTGGAACGTCCCAAAAGACGGTGGTGGGGGGTGGGGCGATCACCGCTTCAGAGTGAAATGGCTATTCCATTACGGTGAGCGTGCACGTGCGCGCGTGTGTGAATTCGGAGAAACCTCGATACTATGCCCTTCAGAGGACCAGACACAAATTTAACATGAGAGAGCACGTACATGTTGGAACAGGAAATGTTAGCTCCTTCTTCCAACAATAAGCATGCATTTCATGCTGTGTGTTTCCATGATTCTGTTTCTCTCTCACCGTCTATACGATGCTGGGCATCTCTCTGCACGCTCTCGCACTCCATACCACCTCTACCGCGCTGCATTTCTCCACGTCCCTCACTCCATCCATCTCCTGGCTTCTCCCACACCGCACAATTCCCGTGCCGTTCCTGCCGCCACCCTCTGTCGCTACGTGCATCATCTGCCTTTTGCTCCACGCGTCTCTTTGCATCAAACTCCACGCATATTCGCGCGACATAATTCTACGTCTCTCACTCCGTACACCTCCCACCTTACACACCTCCTCCTCCACAAATGTCCACTCTGCATCTCCAATTCTCCCCATATTGTCCAAACCCCTCCCACTACGCACACCACATCTCCGTACTACATGTGTGTATTATCAACTTATTTCACTCCGTACATTAGCCAACCGTGCCAATCGGAGGTCCGGGGGAATGACAACAAACTAAAGACAGACAGCAGTTCTCAAAAAATTTGTTTTAATCTACATTTAAAAGTCATAGCTCCAGTGGCTTCCTAATATAGGAAGAGCATTCCAGGCGGCCGTAGAAGCGCATCTGAAAGCGCGCGATGCAGTTCTGCGTCTCTGCTTCTCCCTACGCTGTCCCCAGTTCTTCCGCTCGACAGATCCTCCTCACGGTGCCTGTCTCCACCTCGCTCACTCCATACATCTCCCATCCCTCATGCCACACGTCCCACGGAATCTTCTCCCACCTCTCGTTCCGCACAACCGCCCCACGCTGCGTCCGTCTCCCACTCCTCTCCGTGTGGCCCAGCACTCGGAGGTGTACGCCCCACTAAGTCCCCAACGAGGCGCGGCCACTACGCAGCGGTCTTTCAGCGCTTGTAAGGAGACTCGATTCCCATACGTGTCGCCACCACTCTAGCCAATTCTCTACAAGAACGAGACAGTTAACCGTGTCTCCAAAATAAGCACATTAGATCTTAAACACGCATGTCACATACACGCACACACGTGCACTGTGGTGGGTGAGACAGCATGTGCTGGCACCTCTTACAGGGAGCGGTTAGCGCGAACCCGGCGACCCGGGTTCAATTCCCGCTCACAGCAAACATCAGTGGGCATTATCTGAACCGGCCCTGGGACTCCCCTAGGTCGACTCAGCCTCAAATGAGTACCTGGTACGCTGTGTAAAAACATCGCCACTGGGGAGACAAAGGAGGCCGGGTACTGTGCTGGCTGCCCACCCCCTCGTGTCGCGTGCCGGCCTTCATAGGTGCTCGCTAACAGCACTTGCCCCAACAGTCTGCTAAGGCTATACGGGAGATCTTTGTCTCTGCAGTCACCTCACCACTGGTCCAGTCCAACTCGAATCAGGAGGAAGGACTGCGTCAACCCTGCAGAGTGATTTTAACTCACTTCCTTTCAATTGTGAGTCGAGCACAATAGCCATTCAAAATACTCCACAAGGTGGAATTGGCCAAACATACCAATGGAATACCCTCGTGGAAAAATGGGTTTTGAGGCTCAGAGAGGCTCTCCTGGAATGAATGGGTCACAATAGGGTGAGTAGATGCAGTTGTGTGGCAAAACTAGTGCATAGACTGCACAGATAAACCACATTTAATATAAGTGTTATGGGGCATCCGATGCTGTCTAGAATAAAATTGTCCATTTTCATTTATATAAATTAAAAAGTGCCAGTCTATTTTGTGACTAATGCAATTAAAACAAACGTGCGCTTGAACTGGAAAAATGGGGAAAGCAACATTGACTTTTAAATACCAAATCCAGAAACTAGAACCAACGCTGAAACGTACAAACAGTGACTCAACCTCAGCTCGTTATCCTGCTGATAACAAAAGTGCCACGGCGTCACGACATCCACTTCTGGATGAAAGCTTCTGCCCAACGCCGCCACCATCTCCCACCGTCACGTGACGGCAACGATCCATGTGAGCACCGCTGTGCACGAGCTTAGTTTAACTGCGCGGTGGACATCCCTCTCAGGCGTGTTCACTCCTTTGGTAGCCGCTGCGTCGTTAAGTCACGACCGCCGCTAAGTCACGACCGTTGTTAGGCCTCGACAGTCGTTAGGCCTCGACAGTCGTTAGGCCTCGACCGCTGGGCATCATCCCTTCCAGGGGGAGTGCCCTGCCCAAGTTCACTCGCTAGTCTTCGTAGTCGACATGGTGTCTCTATAAATTTCTTACGTTCTTTAATCCACATGTTCCTCTATCGTGATTCTCAGTGTAATTTCCAAGCATTCAACTCTCCATCGTAATTTACTTATATCAAGCGAAAAATACACCGATTCTCATCTCCATCGGTAGCCTTGAACCAGCGGTGGAAATTACACATTCCTGTGCCAAGTTCTAGTCTTCCCACAGGATTACCACTGTGGGCTTCCTGCAAAGTGCGACTCATTGTATCTACCCAAGATGGATAAAAAGCCGAGTTGTTGCCCAAGAAGAATCGGAAGTCACAACTTTTCTCTTGCAAGGTGAGCCCTCTTGCCAACAGCACAACTTGACTGAATTTGCTGAGCTGGAGCAAGAGTATGGCACACTCTGTTCCTCACTAAATTAAAAGGTTACACACACACACACCCGACCACAAGTCATGCTTGCTACAGACCTCAGGGCACCCGAAGCGGAGGTGGCTATTCTATGGCTGTGCTGGGGCTACAACCAAGTGTTTGCCGTTTGATTTAGACGGGCGAGTTTCAATGGCTTTACAAGACGCCATTCGGGCATTTCGGAGCTGTAAAGCCACGCGTTCGGGTCCAAAGAGCGGAGCGCTCTTTGGTGTCACTCTGCAGTGGCCACCTGCCACACGACAATGCTTTTTTGCCGATGCCTGTACTTGGAAAAAAAAGACAACGAGCAAATCCCCTAAAGGGTACCGTTGGTCAACTGTTAAAACAACTTTGCTTCTAATCTAATTCTCTATAGCCACAAATGGAAACGGACACATCAAAGGGTTGGGGGCCTCTAATGAAGCAGCTCGGTACGCAAGCGTCTGGCCTTTGAAAAACAGGACACACGCGGAGAATTTGAGGAATTATCACAGCAGCATATGGGGGCGAGCAACGTGGAGGTCTGTGCAGAGAGCGTGTCTGTCGGAAAAGCAACGCAAGATGCAATTTGGAAGAGGAAGTTGCAGAGAGGTGGGGCAAGCGTTTCAGGATGGAGGAGGCCAGGCGACCGAGCTGAGAATGGGGTAGCACCAAGAGGCCAGAGGACACAAAAGGGGAAAACCTAACGCCAGATGGTTGGGTCGATTGGACGATCAGAGCGGCCTTCAGAGGTCCGGTATGGACGACGGGAACAGCTGCGGGATCTAGCAGACGGAAGGAAGCAATGGTTTAATGTGGTGGCATCAGCTCCACTGGCATCAGCTGCACTGGCCGTGGGTGACCTTAACGGCACACATTCGCGTCAAGGCGTTTTTGCTTTACACAACACGGACAGGACGGTTACATTTGAAGAAAGTTAAACTTTCTTAAACGTGTTTAACCGCATACTTGAAACATCCCACCGCACTTGATGCCTAAATTCTTTGGCAAAAATGGTCGTAACATGTGTGTTGTGCGTGACAAGTGTGCACACGTGATGCAAGTGTGTATGGAAATCATTACTCAGAGGCCACTCCAAAACGCCACACACCCCCGCCCCCACACTCACTCGACAACCGGTGCTGTACCAACAGCATTGACGCAATCTCGCAAACCATATCCTGTGCATTCACAATTCTACCATCCCGAACCTCTGTATTATCTTAAGGAGAGTTGGCTGATAGTCCACGAGGCCAGGGCAGATATTTCACTTGTCGGTACCACCCAGGGTGCTGTAACTTTAGTGGTTCCAGTTTCTTTCATGTGGCCAATAAGAGTGAATTATGTGATAATAATTAGAAATGATTATGGTTACCAAGTAATTCACTCATACTGGCCGCATTAATAAATATGTATCACTGAAGTTGCGCTATCCTTAGATGGTAACAATTTTTCTGCGTCCATGTCACTTATTTATCTGTAACTACGAGCATTTCCCGCGAGGGTCACAGAACGTGATGCTTTCTCCGCCCACTTCTTATAAGGCTCACTGTTTTTTTTTTCTGACGGAGCGTCTTAAAGAAGGTCGACGATACCAAGAAAGCAGAGCCACTCAAGTCCTTTAGCTTGTTTCGCGCCCCTGGACATCTGACCCAGTGGCTCAGCAGGACACTCGCCTCTAAACCGGCATGCACGTTCCGCTTCGCCAGAGGCGAGGGGACAAGCCGAAGCGGCTCCAGCGCCAGCACGACGCAGCCGCTCCGACGAACAAGCGTGATCAGTGCTGACGACGCACAGCAGAGCGGCCAGGCCTCCCCATACCCGCCCCCGAGTCCAAAAGGGGGCCGTAGGTGGCGTCGTGGAACAAGGTTACCGATTGAATGTGCAAGGGCTACCTCCCTTCAGCGGATTTCGACCATTGCCGCCAGCCGAGGATCCAGAGAAC